TGGGAGCTTTAGATTTTCCTCTTCCACATGCACAGCAACTACTCCTCACTGCCTTGTCCTGGAGGCATCTCTAAATCTCTGTGTGGACAGCAGAGCATTCCTATAATAAATCATTATTGAGCTTTGAAAAGAAAGGAGATTTTTGGCTCATGCTACAACATGGATGAACCTTGAGGACATGATGCTGAGTTGAATAAGTCACAAAAGGATATGTCCTGTGTGATGCCACCCAAATGAGGAACCTAGAGCAATCAAATTCATAGAGACAGAAAGTAGAATGGCAGTTGCTGGAGGCTAGGGGGAGGGGGAAAATGGAGACTTGGGGCTTAATGGAAACAGAGTTTCAATCTGGGATGAAGGAAAGCGTTCTAGAGATGAATGGTGGTAATTGCACAGCAATGTGGATGTACTTAAGGCCTCTGAATGGTCCACTTAAAGATGGTCAGGCTCATAAATCTTGTTGTCTTGTTTTGTTTTGTTTTACCACAATTGGGGAAAAAGAACTCAGCACGTTTTTTCTTCTCTTTGGATTCGTCAACTTCTGGACTAGTGTGGCCTCTATACTAGTCTCCGTTCTGAGGAAGCCACTGGCACTGCTTGGTCTTCCTGACTAGGAGCCGGGGAGACAGGTGTGCACTCGGCTTTCTTTCCATCATCTGGGCAGCACTTCTCTGGGATCTTGCCCTTCTTCACTGTAATATAGCTCTTACCTCAGCCTGAGTTCTTCCATCTCTTGCTGACGACTGCCTCTTCACTTCACTCTATAGACTGCATCCCAATTTGTCTTCCTACAAATTGAAGCAAAAAAAAAACCAAAAAACCTACTTCTGTAAAATGCCTGCCCTTGACACATGCTTATCTCTTTACCAGGAAGTAATATACTTTCTTCTTTCTATGACAGCAAATTTAGATACATGATCTGCACACAGAAGAAAACTAAAAATGGATTCTATACCTAAAAGTGAGAGCTAAAACTATGAAACATTAGAGAAAAAAATTCCAGGATGAAATCTTCCTGATCTTGAGCTCAGCAAAGATTTCTTGGATATGACATCAAAAGCCCAAGTGATAAAAGGAAACATTGATAATTTGGACTTCATCAAAATTTAAAACTTCAGCTCTTTGAAATACTGTAAAGAGACTGAAAAGCAATTTGGGGGAAAATATTTGCAAAGCATATAATTGACAAGGGATTTATATTCAGACTACATAAATAACTCTTATAACTTAATAATAAGAAAATCAAATTTTAAAATATATTTGCAAAGGATCTGACTACACATTTCTCCAAAGAAGTTATATGAATGGCCGATAAGCAAAATAAAAGAGTTAACATCATTAGTCATTAGGGAAATGCAACTTAAAACCACAGTGAGATACAATTTCATACCTGCTAAAATGGCAGTAATAAAAACAAAATGGAAAATAGCAAGTGTTGGTGAGACTGTGTAGAAATTAGAAACCTCATTTATTGCTGGGAAGAATGCAAAATGATGCAGCTTCTTTGGAAAAACAGTTTGTCAATTTCTTACGCTATTGACCATATGAGCCAGTGATTCCATCCCTAGGTATATACCCAAGAAAAATGAAAACACTTGTCTACTAGGTACAAAATGCCACGTATTGTAGGATTTCATTGATCTGAATTGTCCAAAAGCAGGAAATCTATAGTGGCAAAGGGGATTAGTGGTTGTGTAGGAGGACAGTGTGAACAGAGTCACTGCAAATGGGTGAGTGGTGATGGATGTGCTCTAAAATTAGACTCTGGTGTTGGATGCACAACTTTGCAAATTTGCTAAAAGATATACTTGTACCCTTAACAACAATCAAAATATTTGGCATATAAATTATACCTCACTGAAGTTGTTAAAGGATAGATCTTATTATTTATTAAGACATTATTGAAATGTGGAAGGAATTTTTCAGTATATTCTTAATTTCAGCATCAAGCTTGTAAGATAGTTCTGTTTCTGTTAACAAGCCACTATCTATGGGAACCCACATCCATACACACACCATCATGCTGAAGGTACAGGAGCAAGGATAAGTTTTCATGGGAGATGTTAGAGGTGATTTTAATTTTCCCCATTTAGCTTATTCTTAAATGTTCCTGCAAATCCATAGATTGATACTTTCTGGGAGGCTCTATCACGTGCTGACATGTTTCTGAGATGGAATTGTTCTCACTGTTGACCTGTGGAGTGCGTGAGTCTTCTGTTCCTCAGCCTTGTTGAAGGCTTTCTCACTTGACTCCCCAGATTCCCCAAACACAGTCTCGTCTCACTGTTGCCTCACCATCCCTCATAGGCTGTAGCAGAATGTTAGTCAGTCTGGGCTGCCATAGCAGTCCGCCACAAACTGGGTGGCTTAAACAATAGAAAGTTATTAGCTCAGTTCTGGAGCCTGCAAATCCTAAATTAAGGTGTTGGCAGGGTTGGGTCCTTCTGGGAACCCTGAGGGAGAACCTGCTCCAGACCTCTCTCTTCTTCTGGTGCTTTGCTGGCAATCTCTGGTGTTCGTTAGCTTGTAGAAACATCACCCCATCTCTACCTTCTTCACATGGCGCTCGCCCTATGTGCACGTCTGTCTTGAAATGTCTCCTTTTTATAAAGACATCAGTTGTTTTGGATGAGGGCTCACTCTAGCGACTTTATTTCAACTTAATCATCTCCATAAACACTTTATGGCCAAATAAGGTCATGTTCTCTGAGGTGCCAGGAGTTAGGACTTCAACATATTAATTTGTAGAGAAGGCAATTTAACTTGTAGCAGGTGGCTACCTCCATTTTCCATGTGATAGCAAGACAGATTTTCAGTGCAGACCCTCAAATGTGCAATGCTTCTCAATGCTTTCCAAAAACAAATTTTCTCATTAGAGCCTTTAATCCAAGAGTGACTAATACTGCCCTTCTCTCTGGTCAGAACACCCATCCCTCCTCCCACCCGGTGAGCCCATTGGCCTAGAATTCCCTTCCTTTACTGCTTTCCCTGGGTATCCTCAACCATGACTGCTCCAGGAAACCGCCTGCCTCCTCACCAAGTCTCCTTCTATGATAGTCGTACAGAGGCCACTCAGTGTCTGCCTCTCACTGGATTCCAGAAAGCCCTGCTAAGGCAGACACTACCCACTGTCAGCAACATAGGAAGTGCTCCATAAATACTTGATGACTGAGCAGAAAATAAAGGATTTGCAACTTGGGCTTTGAACATTCTTTTGTGGGACTATGATCAAGATCCTGGCAGGGTCCGTTCTCTTTGCCCATGTATTGACCATGGTATGTAGTAGGCCATCAGTAATGTTTGTTGAATGAATAAATGAAAAAGTAACAGAAGAGCGAGAAAGTTTACACCTTGGATTTCATACTAAGGTCTCCTATGTGGCTACTTCCTTGTCAGAACCAGGGGAGTGAACTTCCACCACAACACACACACAAACACACACACACACACACACACACACACACACACCATCATTACATTGACAGAATGTGCTAGGTTGCACGTTGTTTCTATCATGTCCCCTTTGTTCAGGGGAAATGCAGATGACAGTGGCATTGACCGCAGTAGGAGTATTGCTCCTGCTCAGAGTTGAAGACTGCACTTTGCCTGATGCCCACAGCTTCTCTTTGTGGAGCTTTTTCTGGGCAAAGTGGTTCTGTCCTAGAGGACTGAGGCTGCCTGACAGCTGTGCTCAGAATAGGCTGTGAGGTCTCTGATGGCTCCTAGTCTCTCTGTCTTAGTGACTTTTCTGTTTTCTGGCATCTCCCAAGTCTGAGGCTGTATTTCAGTGGCATTGGAGTCAGACTCCCACAGCCCAGGTAGGGTGCATGGTCGTGGAAAAATGGAGAACAGCCGCTTGGTAGACTGCTGCACAGGGGCTGCACATTTTGGAAAAAGATAAAGTCTTAGGTAGAGAAAAATTGTGCTGGTCCTCGGGTTAACCTTCCTATTTGGGGTGAGGAACTGACCGAATGGGTCTTGGAGGCAGAGTGCAAGAAGGCTTGAGGGTGGAGGTGTCATTTGAGGGCTCTCTGTGGTGAGACAGTACAGATGGAAAAGGACTGTAAGATGGTGAAGATGTGAGGAAGGTTAAGCAAGCAGAGGAACAGACAGACCCAGAGGGACCCGGACAGATGGACTGAACTAGTGGAGTGCAGAAATCAGCCCAAAGCTGGGGTGGGGTGCACCAGCCACTGTTCGTGGTTTACGTGATGGGGCTGTTTGAGGAGAACAGGTCTTCAGTTCTGGAAATGATGTGCTCCATGCCAGGTGATTTGCAGGTGCAGGACAGGTCACTGTCAGGAACCTAGAAGGTGCAGAGTGAAGGGTTCTGGGAAGCCCCCAGACATGGAGGGACCATCTAAGGGGAGGAAAGCCTGCCACTGGGCTGTGCACACGTTCCTCTGTCCTGCCTCAGATATGAGCTCAGAAAGAGGTGGGCTGACCTGCAAGGACTAGACACTGTCCCAACAAAGTGACGTGAGGCAGGAGGGCGGCTGTGGGCTGCCTAACCTGATATGAGGTAGTAAGGACACTGGCCAGGCGAGGGTAAGGGAAGAAAGGAAAAGATGGACCTTAGAAAGATTTTGATGAGAGAAAAGATGGGGCCCCAAGTGACGTCTGAATATAAATGCATGCTACCTTGTGGATGGAGTCCATAGCACATATTTTCTTTGGCGAGGCAAATGACATGGATAAACAAAAAGAAAATGTGAAAATGTTGAACAAATAAGCACAATAATTGAATGAGGTGATAAATAAGTACATTTATTTAGTGAATGCTTGTCCATCGATGGTAATCGATCTGGCAATTAACACAATGTTTACAAATCCTGCAGTGTACCTATGTGTGGCTGCTGTGGTGTGTGTGTCTACATACGTATACACATCCACGGATGCAGATGGATGAAAGCTGAAGATACATGCAGGACGGCAACCAGACTATTTTTAGTGTGAGGACAATAATTCAAAGTGCTCTTTCCATCTCTCATTTCTTCTCAGGCTGTGCAGGAGCATCACAGCTAGGAGTCAGCTGCTGTGCAGCTAACTCCGCTTGGAGATTGGTTGTTTCCTGTCCGTGAGTTTGGAACCGTCTGTGAGTGTGTTCCAGGACCCTCGCACATACAAAGTCTACCTGGACCCAAACCCCAAAGTCAGCTCTGTGGAACCTGCATATATGAAAAGTCAGGCCTCCGTATTCTTTGATTTTGAATGCTGTATTTTGGTTGTAGATGCAGAAACCATGGATTTAGAGGGCTAACTTTATTTGTTTTAAAAAATTGTTTATGAAAGGACCCATGAAGTTCCAATTCATGTTGCATTTCCTCCTGTTCCTCATTCTTGATGCCACTTCATTGCTGCATGACACTCTATGTTTTGCTGTCAGCTGTCCTCTGTCACAGCCAGGGAGGCCAAATGGCACCTGGCACTGGCCCTGCCATGACCTGGTGGGCTGGTGTCAGTGCTCTGTGTGGCTCACAGGCACTGTTGACGAAACTGACTGGAGTAAATATGATCACCCTGTTGGGTCCAGAGGCTTCAGTCAGGGACAGTTGAGGGGCAAACGTAGGATGCTGGAAACCTACATTCTGACTAGGAGTGTGCATTCCACGGGAGAATTGACCCTTGTGCTTCAGTGTCCTTGTCCCTGAGTGTAATCTTGGAACCTCAGCTCCACCAGTCAGTTCCCGTTCCTCTCCTCTCCCTCTCCTGCCCTGTACTGGCCAGTCCCAGATAGAAGGCATCCCAGAGAAGGCGAGGCAGAAGTGTGAGTGGCCCTGTCAGCAGCACCTCCAACATGAGCTTCTCTGGGAGGTCACAGCAGCAGAAATAAGGTCTGAGTGCTGTCTCTCAGGTTCATGCTCTGCATGGAAAGTTGATCAGATCATTCGGGAAGGTGCATTTGAGAACAGGTAGGGTGCTAGGGCTCTTTACAGATGTCTGCCACTTCCCATACTGTTCTGTTTAACCTTGCTCCTGGACAAGCCTGGGGAACGGTGTTGACTTTAGGCAGAGCAAAGAAGAGACAGCCAAAAGGATTGTAGGCTTGTGGTATCACGTCCTATATGTTTTAAGTGACAAGAGCTTCACAGCTTTAAAGGTGAATGCAAAGCATGTGAATCATGACTGATTAAATTACCAGCCATTAATTAGATTGCCAGTTATAAATTATAAACTCTCATTCTGATTAACACAGCCCCTAATGAATTGACCTCTCTGCTTATGTTACAGCTGAATCTGGCATGCACAATTTCATACTCAGGGGAAGGAGGGAGTGGATCTGCAGATCCAGGCATCAGCTTCACAGTGGTTGGATCTTGGCTATGTGGTTCCTGCAAAGGAGTGAGAAATATAAAGGACACTTTGAATTATGGTTCCCACACTAAACATAGCCTAGCTGCTGTCCAGCTTGAGGCAGCTTACATGTAGAAAGAAGATCTGTATTTTAATATCCAACATGAGCACAGAATCAGGAAAATGTGCAATTAACTTGATAGTTGATGCTTTAACAAGAGCCTTGGTGAAGAGAGACATTTTGCTACTTCAAATAGCCATCTGGGTGCTATGTAGCCAAACCCACAGTTCTGCTCATCATTCCTTTGAGCTCATTTGAATATGAATAGTGTCTGATATTATGTTAAAGTTTAATAGTACTACAGCACCCAACCAAGGGAATGCCTTTGCTTTATTAAAAGAAATGTTCTTCCTTTTGAGTAATTTTATAATCCTTGTTCATTTACCAACTTCCAAACCAAAATATGACATTGTTACAACCAAATTCATCCATTCACGATTCCTGTTGGCACTGTAGACGTTTTACCTTCTCTTCATGAAACCTAAATCCTTCATCTGCTGCATGATATTTGCGCATCAGCACTGAGAGGGATAAGTAGAAACATCTGCTTACATTTATGAGGAGCAGATATTAGAAGAATTAAAATAAACATTACCATCATCCAACAGCATAAATAAATGGAATGTATGAGAATGTCTGACTATTGTAAGAATAATGGATTTCTGTATGCATATACTATCTGAGCACACCACTAAATGAACAAGCTGTATGATATCAAAGTATCTTTTAAGAAATTATATAAATAAGCAAGCACAGTTAGAGCGTACAGAATGCATCAGTGACCCCTCAGCATCCTCAGGGAACTGGCTCCAGGACCTCCTGTAAATACCAAAATCCAAGGATGCTCAAGTCCCTTATAAAAAATGGTATATCATTTGCATATAACCTATACTTATCCTCTTATATACTTTATATTATCGCTAGATTACTTATAACACCTAGCACAATGCATATACTATGTCATAGTTATTATACTGTACTGTTCAGAGAATAATGACAAGGAAGAAAAAGTCAGTACATGTTTAGTATGACACACCATCCCTTTTGTCCCAAATATTTTTTATCTGAAGTTGGTTGACTCCATGAATGCAGAAGCCACGCATATGGAGGGCCGACAGTCTTGTGAAATATTTTTTTCTACTTGCAATGTTTTGGAAACCACTAGTCAGTGTGGAGTTCATAGCGCACATGGGGTTGAGGGCCATGATTATTTATGGCATCAGGCCCTGTATGGAGGCAGGTGCCTGTTCGGAGGTCATCCTCAGGCACCTGTGAGCAGCGTGCCATCTGCAAGCTAGTGATGCCAGAGCCGTGACCTCAGTCTTCCTTCTGTCATGGCAGACACTGACATGGAGTTGATGGATTTTGTTGAGACCCTTTTGGTGTGCAGCAAGACTGTATTGGCATCTGCTAGGTCCTGGAAACAGTGGAAGACTGTGTTCTTGTACCTCACCCAGAACAGACTCTCCCAGTCCCTAACAGAGCATGGTTGGGCTGTTCCTCTGTCTGCCTCCAGCACAAGTGTGGATGTTATCTAAATACAGATGGTGGAATTTAGGAAATACTTTCCTGATTTTGATGAAGTTGAAAGGTTTAAATCAAAACAGTGACCAGAATATGCACTAATAGCACAAAAACTGATTACAGGCAAAAATCAGAACCGCAAATAGAAGTTTTAAAAAAGACCAGTGCTGGCCTTGCTTAGCTCCTTGAATTCTAGCTCAATGGAACTGGGGTGTGTTTTGGAACTGGATTAAGGAACAAAGAAAGAGAAGGCTAAAGATGACAAACAGACTACAAAATAGAGCTGTCAAGAGAACAGTTGGCTAAAACATCTGCACTCACAGAGGCCTCTGGCCCTCAGATCGAAGTGGAGTCATCAGCTGTGAATTTTATTAAACATCTTAGGAATGAACAAGAGCATCTTGGAAGAAAGGAAGGAGGAAAGAAGCAGGGCTCACTCTGAGGCAGTCTGACACCTAGATCTTTATGGGTGGTGCCCACCAGTCTGGAGCCCCCAGTGGAGCAGGCAGTGGAGCAGAAAGGCAAGAATAGTGGGTGTCCCAGAGGCTTAGCAGAATCCTTAGAACAGGCTCCCAACCCTGCGACATCTGCCTGCATATTGAGTCAGATGAGGACACAAGAGTGCCCCTTGAAGGTCACCGTGTGTCTTTGTTGGGAACAGGCTGGAGAACAGGCAAGCCCCTGGTGGGCTGAGGAGGGATGGGGACATCAGTCCAGAAAGATGGCCAACTCCAATTCTGAAGAGCTCTCCATATAAAGTTACTAGAGATGGCAGATAAACTATAATGCAAGTCATTTAAATGCATCACTTTCACAGAAAAATAAGAGAAGGCCCCGGGAGCCACAAAAAAGGGAAGAGATGCATTCAGAGGAAAGGTTAAAAATGAAAGCATTGTAAGCTACATTTGGAGGTTGGAAGGTCTAGGGTCATTTGCCCTTGGTAACCACATGGAAGCAGGAGACTAGGAAACCAGGAAAGTCCGAAAAGCAGAGGGCTGAATTTGAGTCTCCCTAGGGCTTGCACACACAAAGGGCTACACAGTGGAAGGATGCTCTAGTATAAAAATCCCCAACCATGAAAGAGAGATAACAAGGGAATGTATCTGTCTCACCCAGGCTTCAGATAGCCAAGATGTCTGCCCTAAGAATTTGTGTCATACCCCTTTATTAATCTGCATTTGAGGTTTGACTTTAAGCTACAGAGAATTTTTCACTGGAATTGATGTAAGTTATCAACCACTCTGGAACATCTATGAGAGCACACACAGATCTTTTCTGAAGGGATACGCAAACAACCCAAGTTACATGGAACCACTACTCCCTTATTCAGCAGACATTTATGCACCTCCTCATCTGTTCTAGGCATTTCTGCTGCAGACACATTTGTGAACTAAAGAAACAGATATCCCTGCACTCATGCAGCTGATGTTCTAGCAAAGGAGAAAGAAAAGAAAACATAATAAATAAATCTGTCAACTAGAGTAGGATCAGGGTGAAAAGGATGATAGGGTGCAGTGACTGCCACTGCCAAGAAAGTCTCGTGGAAAAGTGAATTTGAGCAAAGATTGCTCAAAGCGAGGAAGTCAGCCAGAAGGTTGTTAAGACAGAGGAGTTTGTGACAGAAGGAGCTGCAAATGCAAGGTAGGGGCTTGTCTGGGTGACAGTATCAGGAGATGAGGTCCAAGAGGTGGTAAATGGGTAAGAAAATGTCAACTTGGGCTTTAATTTCTGTGAAGCGGGGAGTCATTGTACAGTTTTGCACAGTGGAGCAAATGCTCTGGCTTATGTTGTCAAACAATCTCTCCCGCAGCTCTGATGAGAACAGGACCCTGGATGAAGAGGAGTGCAAGGGACCCGTGAGGAGACACCTAGAGTATGGATGGGGAGAGAAGGTGGGATTGGTAAGGGTTGCAACCATACCAGTGATGAGGGGTGGGAAGACCTGGGTCGATGTTTAATATGGACCAGCAGAATTTCAGACAGATTCATGGAGGAGAGATAAGTGAAAAATGACTCTGAGAATGCCATCGATTGACGTGGGAAGAATGCAAGTGGACCAGTTTTGAGGGTGACATCAGCAGTTCCATTTGGATGTGTTGAGCTGATTCTGGAGTTTGATTTAAAAAATTGGTTAGAGATAAAATTTGGAGATGCTAAGCATGTAGATGGAATGTAAAGCCATGAAGCTCGAGGGGGTTACCAAAGGAGTGAGTGCTGATGGAGAGGAGACCTAGGTTTGGGTGAGTGAATTGGTAGATGCTGGTACAGATGAGGACCCCTGGGGTTCTTCAACATTAGGAAGCAAAGAAAGAATTGGCAGGAGCAGCAAATAAGATGGACCAGTTAGATAGAAAGTAATGCAGGAGAGTGTGTGGCAAGAATGGTGGAGAGTCTGAGATTTTGCCCTGCTTGCAAGCTAACTTCTTGCCATAGTTTCACGAATGCTGGAAGAAGACATGAACCTCATGGGTCAGAGACATAGAACAGTTTACTACTCATAACTAGCCACAGAATTTGTGGGGCTCAGTACAACAGGAAAGCACTGGGCCCCTTGTTCAAAATGTAGGAATAAAGTGCCATTACTCTCCAATTTTGTGGTTAACACTTTTGTCTCTCCCTTCCTTGGCACTGTGCTTGATTCAGTGTAGGAAAGCTTCTGTTGTAGGATCATTTTGGCTACGTAGGCTTTGATTACAGCATCACAGAGGATAGGACTGCTTTATGCAATTCGATGCAGAGAATGTCCATCCTTTTTTTTTTTTGCTGAGATTAATAGTAATTCAGAAAACAACTATCAAAAGAATATTTTTCAGTGATAGGCAGTACACTATTGTTAATGTTGTCATTTGTCTAGCAGCAATAATCTAAGAAGTTCTGGGTAGAAACCAAAAATAGAAATGATCTCAGAAATGAATGAACTTGCTGTCTAAAAATAGCACATCTTCTCAGACATTGAAAGTATTTTAAAATGTGTGACATCACTAATTCACATGATTTGTCTTTGAAGTGAGGAAATCCATTGATAAATCCTGATCTAGAAGCATTTATATATACACTCAAAGGGCAATTGGATTCTTACAGTTTAAGTGTATAGGAAGGATCTTAATTTAAAACAGAAATTAATTCTTCCTGTAAATGAAAGGGAGTCAAAGCAACGACATTAAGAGAGACTGCTACTGTAATGACGCTCACTTATGCCAAATTTCAAAAATGATTTGTTCTGATAAATAAATGCCCTTGTTTCTGTTTAAGCATTTTTGCCTTGTCTGCTTTCTTGAAGGGATCCAGAGAGAAGTAATTTTAAGTGATACTGAAATTCCACATGAATTTCAGTTCAGCATATCAAATAATGCAAACTCTAAACCACATCACCCAAGAGCTGATTGTCATTGTTTACTTTGTAGCCATCTGCAGGCACTGTGCTCTAGCAAGGGAAGAGAATGGATGCCTGGATTCTAAACCTGGACAAATGCTGCACAGCCAGACTGTGGACACATCACTCACCAGAGGCCAATGTCATGTTCTCCCAGCTGTTCAAGTACTTTCAAATATAAAGAGGTGGACGATGCTTTGTCCAAGTAATATGGATGTTTTCCACAG